GGACCGGGCATCACTGACCCGCCCAAACTTGTTCCAATATTGACAAATTCAACTTTCACCATGTCGGGCCTGCTCGCGGTATGTTTGCTATATCCGCCAATATTAATAGACCCGCAAAGTACATCAAAGGGCGGTCAAATTAATGTTGGAACTGAAACGGACTAGTTTATCGAATTGCATGTGATTATTAGAGCGTACGTTAACATACGTAAACTGCAGACTGGGGCTAAATGATATTTCGGCATATTTAAAATGCGCATCTCTGATTGGTTTCGGAGCGATGACGTTATTTGATATTGTGAGGCTCGCGTGGTGATAATTTTGTATGTAGTATGGCTGATATCGCCTTAAAAGTTATAGCATATCGATATTCATACCTATCTTGTATCTTGACTTTTCTAATCTATTTCTACTTTCTTTCCTGGGCATAAGGAATATTTTTTTGTAGGTCTCGGTTAAAAATTTATGAGCAAAACATTCAAAAATTGTTGCTAGATCCCGCTCTGCTGTATCATCTGCGAGGCTAAACATGAAGAAGGAGTTAGAAAGGTGTTTATGTCAAATGTAAGCCTGATTGGACCCATCACATTACCACGTGGTAAACCTTCTGTTCTCTCTGCTTGCAGAGCCTTTCTCTTTTTTTCACCTTGTGGCACACAGACTGTGTAAACCATTGTATTATGTATTACTCTCTAAATGATATCTGTACTCTCGGGCAATAAATGCTTTATTACCATTATTATTATTATACTCGTATTCTTCATGTTTTCTAAATATTCCTCAAAAGTTTCCATCACCGCATATCAGGTATGCAAGGAATGGCAAAAATGCATATATATGTTTTGACCAAGAATAATCGAAGGTCAATGGCAAGTGATACGAAATGGAGTGACCCCCAGTTAACACATCAACAACTAATTTTGAAAACAATAATGAACAACTATATTGAGGAAAAATTATCTCGCGACCTTCTTATTAGCACTGTGTTGATATCTTTATCAGTTATTAGGTAATTTATCATTATGAAATTAAGATGCAATTATTCAAGACGATGTAATGTCTTAAAATGTACTTTTTATAAGAATCGCTGTTTCGGTAGAACTTTTATACTTGCGTGATGTGGACATTTCCTCCAGCATTTTGGTAGATTTTATATGAAACCTTTATGCTTTTTCCGTTTTATAGTATCAATAAAGTTCTTGTACGAATTGAAATTTCTGAATGCTGTATTAGTAGTAAAGTGCTTGGTACGCGATAAGAGCGCTATCTATGTTTGTGGCAATATAGAAATAAAAGGATGAAAATGACAGATTTGAGGTCAGGAACAGCTCGAAAAACAAACTAACAGTTCTGTTTTGATTTGTCAAAACTTACACTTGGATGATTTATGTTTTCTTAGAAGAATATTTAACAATCGAATTGACTGCTATTACCTTTCATCGAAAATCAAGATAAATGTAACGATAAGAGTGAATCCTAGACATCGACATTGATGCCGAGCATCGGCAAGCATCTTAACAGTAAGAATTCGGAAAGCGGTCGTCCTGGGTTCTACTTACGGCACATAATTAATGCATTTAGAAGTCTTAGTTTTATATCTGAAAACCCAAGTATCGTATATTCTTCCATATGCTGCTCTTTCTCCTATAATTATGTTGTCAGCGATATATTGGGACATATCACATTTTTCGCTTTGACTGAGCGGTAATGAGCTAATTTCGCTATCAGTTTATTAACGTTGTTAAAATTACGACTCTTTCTTGAATATACGATATTTAAAATACATAACAATCAACCATGAATTATCAATAATGCATGGTTCATTTCAGTTTGTGAAATGAATTGAATCGACATTATCGGAAATCTTCGAATGCGTTTAAGTGCCGATTTTACATCAACTGCTCTGTTAGGTTACTTAATACAGAATAAATGAGTATTTCTTGCAGTATTTGGCTTAAGAAAACGAAGTACATCGATTTCAGTTTCTGCACGACGGCGCTTTACCTCATTTTAAATAGAGTTTATTCAGACCAGTGCATAGGCCGATCAGGACCCGTATCGTGGCCGGCTAGATCACCAGATTTAAATCCTATGGATTTTTTCTTCTGAGGTGATTTAAAACGCCGCGTTTACAATACGCCAGTGGAAACTGTTGATGATCTTCGACAAAGAATTTTCCGCCATAGCCAGGAAATAAAAAATAACCTTCCAAACGCTTCGGAGAGCGCAGCAGGGATCGGGAGTGTGTTAGGCTAGGTGGTGCTGATTTTGAACAACTTTTGCAGTTATTATTTCCGTTAATTGTTTTATATACAGGGTGTTTCAGTTTATTGTTGCATAACTTTAAGATTCGATGGAAATTAATGCATAAAGTCTATATAAACATGGGTCGAAAAATGCGTGGCTTCCGAAATACAGGGTGTTTAAATTTACTTTCTAAAATAGTTTTTTTAAATATTTCGAACAATATTTGATGTATAATAGTGAAAATTGGTGTACAGGGTTTTTTTGGTACGACAAAACGAACCATGGGCATAGTTTTACTGTAGCCGCTAGAGGCCGCTCTTTACTCTACCCGTAGTGTATTAAAATGACCGAAAATTTTTTCTTAGTGCAATCTTCTGCTTTTTGAAGAAAAATACTGATTCTTCGTACTTTTCAACATAAAAAAGCTCTCTTGTGAGTTTTCGTTATAGTTAGCCATTTTTGAGATACTTCGATTTTTAGGGTTCGATGCATTTTTAATTATTTATGGGAAAATAATATTTTTTTTACATTTTCGTTTTGGGCATTACAAGTAATTAAGATGATCGTTTAGACTGTGTTTTTAAAGACAGCAATAATTTCTAACTCCAAATAAACACAAAAAACAGAATATTAACTTGTATAATTTTCGAATATTACTTTTAACAAATTAAATTAATTATTTACAACTAAAATGCTATTCGATAGTTAGGACAAACATACAAAATATAAAGTAGTTGCTCGAAATGTAAACCCAATTGTTCAATACACAATTCACATCTACGAATGATCGAACGTGGTATAGCATTATTCAAATAAGGTCTTATTTCATCACATGCATTCCTGATTCTGTCTATTAGCAAGCTGGAAACCAGGCCAATCTTCTCAAATCTAACATAACATCATCCCACATATTTGCATGTTCAGCCTTTAAAAATTCCAAGAAGGTCGCAGCATTTAACCTTGCAGGCAAAAGGTAGGGTCCAAATAGTCGATTATGGTAGATACCAATCCACACGTTCACACTAAATTCATGCTGGACATTTCTTTTCCGAACTGCATGCGGATTTTCATGCGACCAAATATGTTGATTATGAAAATTTACCACTGCACGTCTAGTGAAGCATGACTAATCGGTCCATAAAACGTTACTTAAAAACTCCCTATTATTATCAGTTCTATCAAGAATACACTAACAAAATGTGATTCTTCGTTCTCCGTACCCTGGCTGTAGTCCTTGCACAGGTTACAAATGGTAAGGACGTCTATGGTCATTTCTAAGAACACGGTGAACGTGGCTTGCTGAAATTCCCAAGGCACCAGAAACTCTCCTGACACTTGTGGTCGGATCTCTATTAAACTCACGCAGAATCATACGGGTAAATCTGCGCTGACGAACATATATGTTTCGATCCCTTTGGAGATTTCCAAAACCATTTTCAATTATTTGGCGATGCACTCTTACAAATACTGAGCGAGTTGGATATCGTCTGTTTGGAAATCTTCGTGCGTATTCTCTGGCTGCTTCTGCTGCGTTTCCGTTTACAAAGCCATACACAAAATGAATATCCGCAGCTCTTGATTGGAGAATAAAAATGGCATTTTTATAAAACTTACAAAAAAACAGGTAAAAGAAACTAAATTTCGTGAATTCACAATTGCAAAAAAACGTTTCAGGTTTCAACAGACAACAAAACTAACTGTCAACTAATTGACGTTTAACCTTATTCTGCTTTCAATTCCAAAAATATTTGGAGACACAGCCTACTTCTAAAAATTATCGAGATACTGACTTTTTAACGTTATTTTATCATAAATAATTAAAAATGCATCGAACCTTAAAAATCGAAATATCTCAAATACGGCTAACTATAACGAAAATTCACAAGAGAGCTTTTTTATGTTGAAAAGTGCGAAGAATCATTTTTTTTTTGTTCAAAAAGCAAAAATTGCACTAAGAAAATTTTTTCGGTCATTTTAATACACTACAGGTACAGTAGAGGGCGCCCTCTAGCGGCTACAGTGAAACTATGCCCATGGTTCGTTTTGTCGTACCAAAAAACCCTTGTATACCATTTCCACTGTTATACATCAAATATTGTTCGAGATTTTTAAAAAAAAGTATTTTAGAAAGTAAATTTAAACATCCTGTATTTCGGAAGCCACGCAATTTTCGACCCATGTTTATATAGACTTCATGCATTAATTTTAAAAGTTCTATCGAATCTTAAAGTTATGCAACAATAAACTGAAACACCCTGTATACATATTTTTCATGTAAGGCGGTTTTGTTTGGGAGATCGAGAGATTATGCACTAAGAGACGTAATAAGCTAATAAGTTCGTCATTACTGGTTGTTATTTTTTATACTTACAATATTAACCTTACTTTGCTATGTAGTAGCCTTTTTATCATAAAAGCACATTCATCTAGTTTTATTTATTTTGAATGCCTAGTCGTAATGGTGGTCTATCTCCGTACCGCTCTAATTTCCCTTAAAAAGTGCAATCACAGAACAGCGTCCACTTTCATTTCCCGTTTTTTTTAGAATAATTACCCAAGATTTAACGACATAAGCCACAAAATTTCCAGTTTATTGTGCAGTGCGCTCCACTCCAACAATTCCCTTTTTACAACCCGACTTTCTGTGTACCGAAGCCGGCCGCACAAAAAGCATATCTTTTATTACTATTACTCGTAAATTTAAAATTTATCTTTTTGAGTTTGTCGCGTCCTTTGTTACAATTTTGTAATAGTTGTGTAATGGGCGAGAGCCGGTTCTTTCATTCGTAAACAAAGGAAACGCCGAGGAAATAAAAAGACACTCCAAAGGAAAAAGAGAGCAACGGAGAAGCAGCGTTGTTTGTTTAATAGCCAGCCTCGTTTGGAGTATTGAGGCTCTTTTAGAAACGACTCTCCAACCTGGTACATGCACTCTGTGCGCGAACGAGTTTTATTTATCTATGTAAGTTTTTAGGTTATTTTACTGGTACGCCAGATTTTTGCTGTCAGCAGCAGTCTCTAACAACCACCTGAAATAAACGCTGTCAACAGTCATCAGATTCGGAAGGCGCATTTGTTGTAATTGAAAGATTCAGGCTTCCTAAAGTAGCATTTATACCGTGGAGGCATCGAAAAAGGCTTCAGGTGTCTTAGCAGTAGTTTGAAAAATGTTGGAGTCTTTACAGATTCAAAGCAACTATTTATAATAAGCCCTGACATAGCTTACTGCAAATAACACAAATTGTCTTTATTTGAGGAAAAAGCCATAGATAGATAGATAGATACATTTATTGTCTTGTAGATCATAAAATGACATAAGACTCGTCTTAAGGGTGAGGTACATAGTACACTTAATTGAGAGTAAAGACAAAACAAACATAAGTACTTACAAAGTACAAACAGGAACAACTTAAGGCGTACAGAAATTCGCATATAAAAAAGTTTTAAAAATATATCACAGTGCGAGGTATGCAGACAAAGAGTAGAAACATTTTTCAACTAATAATTTTCGTGGTTGTCATTTAAAACTAGCAATACTACTGACATTCCTGAGGTTAGTTGAAACTTTGTTATATATTTTTTTGCAGGTGCATTCCGTTGACTTCTCGAACAGCGTATATTGACATACAAGGCAATGGAAAGACATGGATGCGAAATCAGCCATTATTTCAAAAGCTACAGAAAAACCACCATAGTCCAGAAACTGACTTGGTTTATTAACGTAGCTTCGGAGTGGAAAACTATTTGGATGGTAATCAGTCAACAAAGTAATAGCAACTACTATTTGCTACATAAACCTCTTCCCATATACCTACCGAACATTTTGAATTTTAACATCAATAAAAAAGACACCATCACGAAATGAGATTAAAAGAATCTTATCAACTTCAACATGAACTTCCACTGACTATTATAACAGAGAGATCTATCGTCCATCACTAGATTTTTGCAGAGATACTGGACTCTGGATATAATTTTAGTTTCGTACACCTTTGTGACAAAAATACTTTCGTCATCAGTCTGCCACAAGTTAACCTCTTTAAGGAAACAGTATTTATAGTAGTAGACAGGGTTAATATGTTCTAGAACGGCGTCTATGTGCCACCCTTCGGTGTGAATCGTGTGACGTTGAAATCTCAAAAGAACTTGACCTTGAAGCTATGTGACATTGACATTGTAGATTACCTTAAACCTGAAGCGGTGTGACCTTGAAATTGTAAACTGTCTTAACCTTCAAGCGATGTTATCTTGAAAAGCTAAATGACCTTGACATAGAAGTGATGTGACCTTGACATTGTAAATGGCATTGACCTTGGAGCGATGAGAACTTAACATTTTAAATAACCTTGACCTTGAGGCGATGTGATCTTCAAATTGTAGGTGTCCGTGCGATGTGAGCTTGGAATTGTGAATGGCCTTAACCTTTAAGCTATGTTACCTTGACATTTTAAATTACTTTGAACTTGAATCGATGTGAACTTGAAAGGGTAAATGACCTGGACCTTGAAGTGATGTGATCTTGACATTTCAAATGACCTTGAGGCGATGGGAAGTTGACATTGTAAACTACATTGACCTTGAAGCGATGCGACCTTGAAAGGGTAAATGACCTCGACCTTGAAGTGATGTGATCTTGACATTTCAAATGACCTTGAGGCGATGGGAACTTGACATTGTAAACTACATTGACCTTGAAGCGGTGCCTCCTTGAAATTGTAAGAGGCCTTGACTTTGAAGCGATGTAGCCTTGGAGTTCTAAATGGTCTTGGCAGGGAAGCGATATGACCTTGAAATTGTAAGTAACCTGGATCTTGAAATAACGTGACCTTGACATTGTAAGTGACCTTGACCTTGAAGCGATAGTAACTTGACATTGTAAATTACATTGACCTTGAATCGATGTGACCTTGAAATTGTAAATGGTCTTAATTTGAAGCGATGTGACCATGGAATGCTACATGGTCTTGACAGTGAAGCGATATGCCCTTGAAATTGTAAGTGGTCTTGACCTTGAAGCAATGTGACTTTGGAATTGTAAATGGTCTTGACAGTGAAGCGATGTAACCTTGAAACTGTGAATGTCGCTCACCTTGAAGCGATGTGACCTTAAAACAGTAAATGACCTTGACCTTGAAGCGTTGAGACTTTGATACGGTAAATGACCTTGATGTTGTACAAACTTAAGGATGTGAAGAACCTTGAGGTAGAGAGGAGATGACCAGTACTTTAGATATAAAACATGATATCTCGTTTTAGAAACATTTCGCAATTACAATACTTCATCGCCTCTGGAAATGCATAGGTATGAACTTGTCATTTTGAGAATCAACCACTTCGCAAACGGCGAGCCACTTAAAGTTTGATATTTGAATAAACGACAGAATAGAAAATCATGCTTTCTTTTCTAAATTTCCGGTTCGTCTGGGAATGTTTAAGACAGACGTTTAAGAACGAAACACAATAGCATTCAAACCTCTGTCATAGAAGGAGGAATCGACGTTTTTCATTCGATAAGATCTCGCGAACTTAAGACCATGCGTCAACGAATGATGCGTTATATCCGTTTTATAGTCAGCTAAAGCAAAGAGGATGTTGATCAAATGCAGTCACACCAACAAAGCAGCTGATTCTACCTGATTTCCTTGCAACTAGAGGGATAATGGAGCCTGTATATCAGAACAGGCAAAATGAGCAGAAAGCGACCTCAAAACTTGACGCCTGACTGGCAGTGATCGAAACGAGTGCCAGTTACTGCGCATGTGCAGACTATCTGAGGTTATAATACGAAATCTGCCCGCTTGAATCTGCAGGTATTATTTGATAAAACTTATTTTTTTTTAATAATAGTAGAACAGATTACGGCAGGGTTTCGATCGCAAAGGGTTATCAAAAAACGGATACCTGCAGATTCAGGTGCCGGGGTCTTAGACTATTACGATAAACTTCTTATGGAGGATCGGTCAAAGCACAGCGTTATGAGATGGGCGGACGGAATTTCCCCGAAGTAAGCACAAAAATGATTCATAATTGATACTTTTTCAAAAAATGCACCAAATCACACTTAATGGGAAAGGATAGGTTCGGCTTGAAGAGCGAGTGTAAGTAAGATTCCTTAAATTTTGGGAAAAATCCCCCAACATGGCAACCTTGTCAAAGCGCCACTGCTTCTCCAGGCGTCAAATTTCGGAGCCGTTTTTACAGCACGAACAGCACTGCAAGTTTGTCTGCGATTCTGATGGAACAGTTAGTAACTTACAAGTCGCCAATGCATGTAAATGTTTCTAGGCGGATCCCAAAATGTAGGTTAGGAATGTGACAGGGAATAGTTCATAAATTTAGGCTGGCTAACTTTGCCCGTTTGAATCAAGGAAACAGGGCCGTCTTGCAACTGCAGGTGATTGGATGCAATTGTCTGGCAGACCAACTAAAGCGGTCTTGCAACAAAACGGCAGTTGCCCAGTGGCGAACATAAGGGGGGGGGTCGGAACGGCGGAAGATGCTATTCAAATTTTTTGTGAATTTGCCAATTTTTAGGCAACCTCTTACTTTGTCATGACCGTAGCCACTGCTTCTCTATGAGGAGAGTCCAAAGTAGGGCGTGACCGTATAATCTATAACGTAATCATTCGTTTCAAAATTTGCAAATCAGTAGTTAATCCGGATGCTGCAAGTTGAGGATACTTCAGAACTGAGGGATACCAAACGTCAGCTTTAACATATTGATAATAATGATACTAATAGCTTTATTGTCCAATAGTTAGCCCATAGGACAATTGAATGAAAATAACAAATAATAAAAGAAATCAAGCACAGTGGTGAAAAACAAAGGGTTTAGCCTAGATACATATGGTATACGCCATCTCAATTAATTCTCTAACAGGAGATATAAATATGTCACAGTGACAGCTAATGTCGTAGATGTCAATTGAATCAGATGCGAAGACGCAAACGAAAATGTGGACGTGATCTATCTGGATTTCTCCAGAGCCCTTGATCGTATTCCACATAAACGGCACCTACATCATCTGGATCATCTTGGAACCAGCGGTAATTTACTTCTATAGATCGAAGCCTTGTTGTCAGGAGGAACAGTCTCCATCCGTGTTAGAAAGAGTTACTCTTCTAGTAATTATGTTACTAGTGGAGTACCGCAAGGACCGGTACTGGGGCCGATACTCCTTCCGTTATATACAAGAATCCTACCCATGCATCTGTCTTCAATGTGTTCCACCTATGCAAAACACATCAAACTTTTTGGAATGTTGGTCGGAACTTTGGCCTCTTCCTCCGAATCTCTCGAAATGCTACGTTCTCCATCTAGGCAAAAATAATCCTAAGTTTCAGTACAAGATTGGCGATCATTCCATCTAGGCTGTTACAAACCACACAGTTGATGACCATTTGGCATGGTCGGAACACATCCAGAACATCAACATCAAAGGCCAATATCCATCATATCTACTATAGCTCCAGGAGAGTCAGCCTCTAACGGTTAGAGTGGTAACTGGGCTAGCTCCAACCTATAGCTGCTAAACATTCTCGTGGTCGTCGATTCTGGTAATAGATAGCGCTTTGCCAAGCTCTAGTTCCCCAACTTGAATGTTAACCTGCGATTGAAAAGCGGGTTGGACTCCAAAACTTCGAAATCAGATGTACGTCCGCCGGCAGTTCCAGTTACGTTTGTTTCCGTTTCCACCGCCTATAACTAATCTAAAACGTCGTTCCACTATTCAGCAGATTAATCCAGGCTCCACATTCATTAGTCGATCGATGGAACATGTTAACATGTAGAATAAATGGTCTGTAGTCTGCCTGCCGATGTGACACGCTTCAGTTGGTCTTTCCTCCGTGTTACACCGTCAGTTGATAGTTTCGCTGCTAAAACTGGAGGTCTGAACTAAATTATTCTGAATTTCTTGTAATTAATTGGATTTGATGTCTAAAGAAACACAGTTTGCTGTTATAAGGTTTCGGAAGATATTCTTTCTTCCCTCGGGGAATTTAAGTGATGGTTAAGAATACAATATATAATTCCTTATCTCATTTTAATGAGAAAAGTTTACATGAACATATGTCCAAAGCCACTCAATCTTCGAGCTACAAGATGAAATTTTAAGAAAGAAATCGTTTTTCTATTATAACTTTAATAATGGTCTAGATATTTTCATGAACTTTGACATGCACCAGTTTTTCTACCAGTGGCGTCCGTACGGGATGTACTCTGGAGGTTTTTAAAAAAAAATGTTATTTCGTGGATCTATTGTATTTTCTAATATGCCAAAGTACGTCTCGACCGTCAAGTATTCAGGAATGCCAGCCCACACATTTATTTTTTCGGAATATTGCGACTGTGCCTCTTGAAACAAATGTTAATTTGAGTCACCCCACTATCGAAAAGTACGCCCATTTACAGCTCCATGTAAATGGAACGTACACTCATACCAGGAGAGTCACAAACGGGGGTGCGACCTTTTCGTAGGTCCACCCTGTACCTCAGCGACATAAGCGACAATGGTAATTAATCCTATATTAGTTCTAGTAGAAATCTTGTTTCATATTACAACAACATTTCTGAAAATCACTACAATATATTATCACCATTCAAGTCTTTCATAGATACCGTCAGTTGCAACCAGTAATAAAAAGTTACATGTGAGGTGCGATACATAACGTTATATCGTTGCTTTAGGGTTATGGGCGCACTTATCTTGCCTGTCATATCCCGAGATAGCCATTTTAAGGGAAATGTTATGGTGGATGTTGCAAAACACAGAAACTGCCGTTTCGCCGCCGGCAATGCTGCTGCTTCTGGTGGTATTTTTACTCCAAGTGCTATTTTATTTTTCCGTTTCTTTGTTTACGAATAATGGGGCATTGCGGATCGGTATCGTTGTCTGTAACGATGACAAAGGGACGTTTAAGGGATCTGCTGTATACCAAGGGAGGACTTAAATTAACCATTCCTGTCGGAATGTCGAAAAAATCCCTCTAGCGGCCACATGTGAAACCAACAAAACTTCATTTGTAGTCCAGATACAGTACCCAGTACTCTTAGTTGTCCACCCTGTACAATAAAGACATTGAAGTTCATTCTTTGTCTTACCGGCAGTCCATCTGGCAACGTTGCATTTCCCGGTACCTGGCAACAGTAAGTCCAGGACACTTATCAAGGCCGGTATGCTTGCCAGTGATTCCAGACAGCAGAAGCAGTGATGCGTATCGAAAGCATTTCTCTATCATTATGTTTTAAGGCAACACAAATGCGGCTAATAGGTGCGTAGAATTAACAAGGTTAAGAGAAAATTAACAAAAATAAGACCTTTCCAACTTTGTACTTCTAAAAAATTTTTCACAAATGATCAGAATCTTCTGATGCTTCAAAGAACGAAGTTTGAGCAGTTTTTATATTTCTTGTTTATTTTTTTTAAGGTAGCACATACGATCCCTATGATCTCTAAGTGTGTCTAATAAGTGCTTAGAGTCACCAAGGTTAAGATCAAATTAATAAAAATCAGACCTTTCCATTTTTTACATCTAAAGATTTTTTCATAAATGATCAGAATCCTCTGATGCTTCAAACAACGACGTTTGAGCGGTTTTTGTTTTTATCGTTTTTTTTTTAAGACATCACAAGTACAGTAGATTTTGAGCTTTATTTAGATGCATTAGAGTCTTTGATTCAGAGCTTTCGATCATTCAATATCATCATATGTGGCGAATTTTAATGTACCTGGTTTCAATAGTTCCATGAATGAACGCAAAACTCAGTATTTGACCGATTTCTGTTCTTTTACAAATTTAAGCAACTTCAATGATATTGTCAATCATCAGGGAAGGTTGATTAACTTGGTACTATCTACTACAAATTTAACTGTTTCTAGAGAAGGTCTTCCCTTTGTCAATGAAGATCTGTATCATCCTGCTCTGTATTTTGATTTTTTTGGTCGCAACATTACACGTATATTTGAAATGAATAATTGCCCCCGATACAATTTTCGTCGAGCAAACTTTCCTAAATTGTACAGTGCCATTGCAACCATAAATTGGTTAAATTTAGAGGATGTGAATGATGTTAATAAAGGTTGTGATATATTATATAATATATTTTCGATGAAAATGTACCTAAATTTTGCTATAAATCTCGTAAGTTTCCTATATGGTTTACTAGGGATATCAAGAGAAATTTGAAGAAAAAAAATGGAGCCTGGAATAATTAGAAACGTACAGGCGATAGCTATTATAATGACAAATTTAAAGCATTACGATCCACAATTAAAACCCAGATTAATACCGTCTATTCAGCTTATTTACAAAACACTGAGGACAATATAACTCAAGCTCAGAAAAAGTTCTGGACATTTATCAGTGCCAAAAAAGGTATGTCAAGGATTCCTGGTAGTATGTCGTTCAATGACCACATATATGATTCGCCTCGAGAAATTGTTGATGGTTTTGTTTCATTTTTTTCTAGCATGTTTTCTCAGCAGGATCTACCTAACAGTTATGATGATTTGCAAGGTTACAACGACTGTCTGAATCTTTACATGATAACTGAAAATGATGTCGTTCTTGCAGCTAGGAAATTAAAGAATAAGTTGACCTCCGGAGTGGACAATATTCCTAGCTTCATAGTCAAAGATTGCATTCACGCTCTTGCTAGACCACTTTCTGTTATTTTCAATCTGATGGTACGCACATGCTGTTTTCCGCAAATATGGAAAATGTCTAAAGTATGCCCTGTTAGATATATACAGAAAGCCTTTGACCGAGTCAACCATCCCTTATTACTACATACATTATTAATCTTCGGATTCTCTGAAAACCTACTCTCGCTCCTCCAGTCATATCTTTCGGACAGAACACTAGTTGTAGAATATGGTGGTTATAAGTCTAATAACTACATAGCTACTTCAGGAGTTCCCCAGGGGTCTAACGTGGGACCTTTATTATTTTTAATATTCATTAATGATTTGTCGGTTGAGATTAAATGTCACCATTTATTTTTTGCTGACGATTTAAAAATTTATAATAATATCGTAACTTCTGAAGCCTGTCATTTTCAAAATAACTTGGAAGTTATCAATTCATGGTGTTCCAAAAACCTCCTCGCACTAAATGTGTCAAAATGTAAAGTAGTAACATATTGCAGAAAACGGAATGTTATGCTTTATGATGACTACAGTATTAATCAGGTAAGGTTAGAAAGGAGTAACAGTTATAAGGACCTAGGTGTTACATTTGATGTCAAGTTCACTCTTAATGATCATATAAATAGCATTACATCGTCTGCTTTCCGAATGCTAGGGTACTGTGTTAGAAACTGGTCAGGTTTCTCAAACGTTGAAACGCTCAAGCTTCTATATCTAGCATACGTCAGAAGCAAGCTTGAATATGCATCGATTATATGGGCACCTATTTATCAAAACTCTATTAGCAGATTGGAATCTATTCAACGAAGAGCAGTAATGTTTATGTTCTTCAAATCCAATGGTTTCTATCCACAAAGAGGCTTCAACCATAATGTATTGCTCAAAACTTTTGATATCAAACCGCTTGAAGTACGCCGAAATATTTCTGCTCTGCCTTTTTGTTCAGTTTACTCCACAATAAGGTTTACTGTCCATATATTCTAAGTAAGATATGTTTTAATGTTCCTCGCTTAGGTAATCGTTATTGTGCCACATTTTACTATGATTTCTGCCATACCAATGTCTTGTCCAAGTCTCCTGTGCATAGGTTGTGTACAATATTCAATAGTATCAGTAACTGCGACATATTTAATGTCACTAAATTTCGCGTTATTGAACTTTACCTTAAAGAGCTTCTAAGGTAGAATATTATGGTTGATAATCACTTACCTATATCCTATAATTCTTATCTATGTATCTGTTTACTGTGCTTAATTGATATTTATTGATATTTCCTGTAATTTGGTGTATCTGCCTGTTGGAAATTAACATAAACATTATTATTATACGATCCCTATGAAGCTTAAGAGCAAATTAACAAAAATGAGACCTCTCCAACTTTTTACTTCTAAAAAATTTTTCACAAATGATCAGAATCCTCTGATGCGTCAAACAACGAAGTTTGAGCGGTTTTTATTTTTCTGGTTTCAGACCTCTTTCTCCTCCACCGCTGGAACGATTTTCAAATACTATATAGCTATTTGGACAATATAAGTAAGAATTGTCTTTCCATTCTACGCCAATCATAAACCAATCAGCAATTTCTAAACCATAAAACTGAGGAAATTTTGTGTGAATTACCAGTTATGTCAAAAATCACTTGCAGTTTACCTACCATTTCCAGACACAGCATCACTACTCTCACTAACACCGATCGAACTCAAGAATACAGGGATGACGACAAGTCGGTTGTGTCCTTATTTTGTCCATTAGGTGTCTCCCTTTATTGACTTCAGTCGTTGACGTTGAAATCGTAATATGCGCTCACAGCACAACCCAAGTATCCAAGCCAGTAAATTGTTTCCTTTTTTGTATTTACAACTGTTTATTTGTTTTGGTGGCCATCCATGGTCTACCCACCTTAGCAGCTAGAAAGAGAAGCAGACATTTTTTTGGTCTAGATTGTCAATATCGTATCAGGTCATTTGCCACCTAGGTATCCACGTATTCAGACTGAGTGGTATCTCAAACTTTGACCACGCCATACGCAATCCAATACACACACACGACTCCCTAATAAAGAACGCTGATTTTTGGGTGAGTTTCTATGATTTTGAGAGCTCGGAGCCCGGCACACGCTGAGAGATGCTGCCACAGTGCGTGATCATCCATATCTCTGGAAGGCTTTTCTTCCTCAGATTTCCAGTCACTACCACTTGATATCATGTAAGGCTATTTCGCTTTACGCTGTAGACCTTAACGCTGCCGGATACAATCTTCGCTGACCTCAGGCCAGTCATGGCCATTAAATGCGGGTTTAACCGTATTCCTTGCCGGTTTATTGTTACGCCCGGCATTTTCGTTCTTGATAGATACAAGTAACTTCCCGGCAGCCAAGCAACGGCCAGCATAAGATGAGCCATACACCGTAGGACATGCGGAAATTCGAGCAGAACACGTGTTCTAAAAGTTTTGACACAAAATTCATGGGCTTTAATTGTAGCAAACACAAAATGATATCAAGTTGTCTTTGGAAACAAAAGTTTGTTTACTTACTTTACTGTCAGTTGACGTTTAGTAATTTGAAGTTTTCGCTTTAGGATGTCGTATTGATAAGAGGTGAGCAGGTACTCAAAGCAGAAATTAGTAAATTCTGGGTTGTGTCCAATGTTTTGCAACCAAAAACCGACTGAAATGAAAATCAGAACTATCTCAATGCTATCCAGGTAGGATGCCAATAATGAGATACATGTCGTTTTGCAATTTCGATGACGATACTATTTTGATACCGATAAAAGGATCTACTTTTAGCCAGGCTTAACTGCTTTTTGCAATCCAGAAAAGCTGTGTGCATTATCGACAATCCTTTAGAACATTATGGATTTTTTCACGGTTTCACAATAAAACTACAGGAAATAAATTTCGTACATTCATGCACACGTGCAATAAGTCTCTTTGCGCAGATACTTGTTTCTATGAACCCAAAGACATACGTTTCTTAGTTCAGTCTCACCGCCATTAATTTTTCTAGCCAACCTATTAGTCATCCACATTTATGCTTGTCAATGTCACTGTCACGGCGATGTCATCTGTGTTTACTTATGCTGATCTTCGCTATGAAACATAGTAGTGTTTGAATAATACAACAGTTTGTATTTGAAATATACTAAGTGACATATAAATCCGAGCACCCAGTTTAAATGATTTTATTTTAATAAAATTTTGTATAAGTACGTAATGAAGCATAATAAGTAAATGATGAAAATTTCAAAATGATTGCACTGCTTTAAAGCCCTTTGACCTTTAATAATGTGTGGATGCACCCTGATGCGCTACGCATTCCCCAACGCGCCTAAGCATGCTTCTGATCAGGTGGGCAATGTCCTCCTGTGGTATCTCATTCCAGGCAACCACCAACTCCTCTCGAAGTGCTTCTAGAGTCTGAGGAGGACGTTGCAAATTGAGCAATCTCCTACCCATCATATCCCACACGTGCTCAATTGGGGATAAGTCGGGAGATCTTGGTGGCCATGGTAACAATGTGACATCATTATGTTGAAAGAAGTCTATTGTGACTCTTGCAACATGTGGTCCGGCATTATCTTGTTGGAAAGTTGGATCTGCCAGGGTGTCAAGATAGGGTAAAAGATGGGGTTCTAGAACTTCGTGGATATAACGCTGCGCGTTCATGTTACCTCCGATGAAGATTAAAGGTCACCTGGAACCATAATCTATAGTACCCAAAACCATAACTCCAACAGTGTGATGAACATGTCTTTCAACAAAAAACTGTGGATTCCTCCTTTCACCACGTCGCCTTCTAACCCTGGCACGACCACCGTGCATGCCTAAACAAAATCGAGACTCGTCACTACACTAAAGACAATACTGTTCCATTCCTGATCCCAGAGTGACCGTTGTCTGCACCACTCAAGGCGATTACGTCGGTGTTCTCGAGTTTAAGGGAGGACCCAGTGTGGCCGGTATGAAAACAAGCCAAAACTTCACATTCGTCGGTAAACACTTCGCATGCCAATAGGTCTTCCGTGTTCTGCAAACCATTCATTTGCAATGGACCTGGTAGTGGAGAAACGGTTCCTTAAGGCCAATAATCTTAGGCGGCGATCTTCAAGGTCTGTTGTTCTACGGCGGCGTCCAGTGCCCCTTGCTCTTTGCGTACGGCCTTCTCGAAGCCATGCCTGACAACACCTAACCACAGTGTCTACACTTCTTTGCACTCTAACTGCAATTGCCCGAAAAGAAAGTCCAGCTTCCCGAAGTCCCACTATACGGCCCCTATCAAACTCACTAAGTTGACGAAATCGTACAGGTCTCCGTACTCTAGGCATCGTAACCGATCGTAAAGGATGTCAAGAACCAAAATCCGCCAACGTTGATTCTTTACTGCGGCTGAAATATTCATTTTTAGAGCGTTAGTGAATTAAAAAAAAGCACTATAAAAACCGGAATGTCCAACTGATAAGGCTGACAATTTTTTCACTTGTTATTTACAGTAAGATAAATACATTCACCAACTTTTATTAAAATAAAACCATTTAAACTGTGTGTTCGGATTTATATGTCACACACGGCCCAATTCACATGCGTGTGCAAGAGCGACTAGCAGCCGTTTCCCTTAAGGAAGTTGAGCTACACGCACATGGTGCTATTAGTCAATCTTGTTTGCTTATTGGCTCAAGAATTTGTGCTTGTATCTAGATACAGGTTTAAATTTAGAGACCGCTGTTTATACGTTGGCTTAAACAATAAACCCTCAATCATATCCTATGAAAAATCTAACACACGACTGAGGTATGCACTATGGTTTTGGTATTTATCCACAAAACTCCAGCAAGTGTTTTTGCCCAGAAAAGAGTGGTTAGGTAGACCTTTATTCACAAAAATAGGTTTTTGAACAATTTTAAATCGGCAAGCTGAAGACTTAAATGTGTGTTCTGCCAAGTATAAGATCGGCGTCAGATCTCCAGAGACACGATTTTAATAGGCTACCGAATCGTGTTGAATATGTGGGGACATACGCAATTTTAAGGCAAAAGTGACAAAACTTCTTGTAGGGTCAGGTGGTGCAAAAACGAGACGATTTTTAAATCTTTTAATTTTTTGTCAACAAAAAAACGGACTTTAAGGCTTTGTTATATTGCCCTGTATACAGAAAGCCTTTTTAGTATGTCTCACGTTAAAAAAAGGTTCATAATATTCATAATGAAGGGCGTTTTTGTTAAAAAACCGTGTCTCGTTTTTAACCACTATTTAGACTAAAAATGAGACAGTGAGAGGTTAAAAACAAGACACTGTATTTTCTAGCCTTTTAGTCGTTTTACATCAGTGTGGCAAAATATGAGACCCTGGGGAATAAAAACGAGACACACTGCAATGGTTTTAAAGCGTTTAGTATGTCAAATAACATAGCTGGTTTTAAATTATGACAACATTCTTAAAGAAAACTCACATAATTAAATACAAAACTATGTTTATCAAACCAAAAAGAAAATAAATCCAAAAACAAGTGAAATAAAACATACCTAATTAAAAAAACGGGTAAAACAAGATTTTCAATAGGATTTTAAGAACTAAAGTAGAAAACTTATTATTCTAACGTATTTTGTACTACATATTATTGAACGACGTAGGAGACCAATATTGCTGAGAGATACGACAGGTCTTACTTTCTATTTCTGGCTGGGGAAGTTTCATTTCTATGTCACTTCTGTCGATGAAGTACTTTTCCTCAATTGCCGGAAAAATATATTTAAATCCTTTGCGCCTCAGATATTTTACTTCTACACCTAAATTTCCAAATTGGATGAATCATGTATTAAAAAATCTAATAATTCAAAAGAAAATGGCTCACAAAATGTTTAAAAACTTAAAAACAGAAGAAAACTATATAAAGTTTTCAAAATTAAGATCACAATGCAGCATGTTATCCAAGAGTTCATATCAACAATTTATTCAAACACTTGAAGGCCAACTACATGATAAAAAGTCCTTTTGGAAATTTGTCAATTCCAAAAGGAGGATCTTGAATATCCAAAACCCATGTGTCTTAACGATGTTGAAACAGATGATCCACAAATAATCACAGAGATGTTTTATTAAAATAAAACCATTTAAACTGGGTGTTCGGATTTATATGTCACTCAGTATATGTTGAAGTAATTTATAACGTATTTTTTACAATGTCATTGTTTTTTTGCATTGGGAAAAATTGAATGTCTTGTTTTTGACCGAAACTTCGGCTGTCTCATTTTTGCACCACTTGACCCTAGGTAAATGTTATGTGGTGTATTTTATTTTTGAGTTTGTTTTGTTCGTTTCGTACATTTGCTTTGTGTTGTTTTATTAGTTCTTACTCTGATCCTAATCCTAAGCATACATTTTAATGCTTTTCGGGATAATAAGGAATCTAAAACCGCGAAAAGAGCTTTTAAAGTGTACGCATCTTTATATGCTTTTATCCTTTTGCGGAAAAATATAAAAAAGTTAATGCGAAGTGTCACATTTGCCTGGTGGATGAAACCTGATTGTAGTATACATATGTATCTTGTTTACAGACTCCGGTTTTCTGGAATAAAACAAATCGCATAGGTGCTCCTTCCACCAAGTGCAGAACTGTCGAGGTATACCTTAGCGTGTATGGCTGGCTTAACGACGCCGTTTATTCCCACCGTTAACGCGTTAACGATCGGCTTCCTTCCCCCTTCTCACCCAGCTTCCTACAGCCACCTACGTGGTGCTTACACGTACAATTGCTACAGTGAAAAATTGCATTTCCCAGCAGCTCAGTTCCAAATATAATACGTCTGCTAGCGGTTATTTATGGTATTTTGCTTTAAATGTTGCACGATGCAGAAATGGATTCGAATGTATTGACAGAACTGCTTGGAAATTCTTATAACTGAGAACGTGCGAGGTTATGTCGGAGCTAAGAGCAGATATGATGAAGCTGCTCGTAACTTTTTAATACTGAAGCAAACGTGAATGCAGAAACATAAGTTGTGTGGAGAAAAGTTATAATACTAATAGTAATGAAAATTCATTTCAGGCGAAGTTTAGCTACAAGCTAGCCCTTCAAAATAACTAGCACTAGATAGAAGAAAAAAATATCGCACTGAATACAACATACACATGAGTGTACAAAAGAAACTATACTAAGTGACATATAAATCCGAACACCCAGTTTAAATGGTTTTATTTTAATAAAATTTTGTATGAGTACTTAATGAAGCATAATAAGTAAATGATAAAAATTTCAAAATTATTGCACTGCTTTAAAGCCCTTTGACCTTTAATAATGTGTGGATGCACCCTGATGTGCTACGCATTCTCCAACGCGCCTAGCCATGCTTCTGATCAGGTGGTCAATGTCCTCCTGTGGTATCTTATTCTAGGCAACCACCAACTCCTCTCGAAGTGCCTCTAGAGTCTGAGGAGGACGTTGCAAATTGAGCAATCTCCTACTCATCATATCCCACACGTGCTCAATTGGGAATAAGTCGAGAGATCTTGGTGGCCATGGTAACCATGTGACATCATTATGTTGAAAGAAGTCTATTGTGACTCTTGCAACATGTGGTCGGGCATTATCTTGTTGGAAAGTTGGATCTGCCAGGGTGTCAAGATAGGGTAAAAGATGGGGTTCTAGAACTTCGTGGATATAACGCTGCGCGTTCATGTTACCTCTGATGAAGATTAAAGGTGACCTGGAACCATAAGCTATAGCACCCCAAACCATAACTCCAACAGTGTGATGAACATGTCTTTCAACAAAAAACTGTGGATTCCTCCTTTCACCACGTCGCCTTCTAACCCTGGCACGACCACCGTGCATGCCTAAACAAAATCGAGACTCGTCACTAAAGACAATACTGTTCCAATCCTGATCCCAGAGTGACCGTTGTCTGCACCACTCAAGGCGATTACGTCGGTGTTCTCGAGTTAAAGGGAGGACCCAGTGTGGCCGGTATGAAAACAAGCCAAAACTTCTCATTCGTCGGTAAACACTTCGCATGCCAATAGGTCTTCCGTGTTCTGCAAACCATTCATTTGCAATGGACCTGGTAGTGGAGAAACGGTCCCTTAAGGCCAATAATCTTAGGCGGCGATCTTCACGGTCTGTTGTTCTACGGCGGCGTCCAGTGCCCCTTGCTCTTTGCGTACGGCCTTCTCGAAGCCATGCCTGACAACACCTAACCACACTTCCTTGCACTCTAACTGCAATTGCCCGAAAAGAAAGTCCAGCTTCCCGAAGTCCCACTATACGGCCTCTATCAAACTCACTAAGTTGACGAAATCGTACAGGTCTCCGTACTCTAGGCATCGTAACCGATCGTAAAGGATGTCAAGAACCAAAATCCGCCAACGTTGATTCTTTACTGCGGCTGAAATATTCATTTTTAGAGCGTTAGTGAATTAAAAAAAAGCAATATAAAAACCGGAATGTCCAACTGATAAGGTTGAAAATTTTTTCACTTGTTATTTACAGTAAGATAAATACATTCACCAACTTTTATTAAAATAAAACCATTTAAACTGGGTGTTCGGATTTATATGTCACTTAGTATATAAACGATCTATGTGACGTTTTAGTAAGATTTGATGGTTACTGCATAAAGAAGACAACTTCTGTCAAGTTTCATGGTATTCATTTAGATGAGAATTTATCATGGAAAGAGCACATTGACATAATATTAGGCAAACTATCTATGTACTGTTATGTACTGTGGCAGCTTCGCAATTACGTTGATGTGACACTGTTATGGACATATTATTGTGCGTATGTACATGTACACTCTGCCCTCAACTGTGCAGGAGGTATTTGTTCTTCAAAAGAAAGTTATCAGAACCATTTTATTTGAAAACAGACGTGCATGCTGTGTTGATCTATTAAAAAAATTAAGAATAATGGAAGTATATTCATTGTATGTCTATAACTGTGCCTGCTATATAAAAGAAAATTTTAAGAACGATAGCCTCCAAAGAGGATCTGCTGCTACCCAGCATTTCAGGCCATCAGTCTCGCTAACCACTGAGGATCACAGGTTGATTATGTTCCCTGCGTTTATAACAAATTACTAGAATATATAAAGAGTATCCAATCGGTAACACCTTTTAAAAGAAAGGTCAAGAGTTTCCTGTATACAATCCTCTATATTCAGTGAATGGTTGCTTAAGCGTTTGATACTTATTAGATTTTTCCCTTAGTGCTGTATTTTCAAAGGTGATTGTATCATATTGCTTAGAGGTTTGCTATCCCTATTCAGATATGAGAACAAGAAATCGTATTCAAAGCATTATGAGTACATCTTGCAGACTAGTAATAGGTCGCAGAAAATATGATGATATATTAACGGCCATTAATGACATCAAATGAATGGAAATTAATAAAATGTATAAACCAGCTCTGACTCATAATATGTGTGGCGTTAATATTAGATATATACGTATCTTCCCCAGAATGCATCTACTTACAAAGCGATCAAATTATATGTTTCTTAAGACCGTAATTTAAAAGAAACCAAAAAAAAAAGTGAGAGAAATTCTACTTGATCAGCAGCGAAAACTCATAAGTGTTAACTGACCGTATGTTTCCTTTATGTCTTTGCATTGATTATATTTTATTTTGTCGTTATTGTATACAGGTATTAATTTTCAAGAAATTTTCAGTAATATACATTCCATATTGCCAAAGGGGTTAGGTAGTAGAATAGATATAGTAACTAAACCTCGCCTCCTGTAATATTATTACAAATAAGAAGTTAATTATTATTACATTCACATATGGAACAACAAAAGTCGCCAATTTCATACGAATTTAGTTCAATTTCGCTCACCACCGTTAGAATCTGAAGAATTCTAAAATTGGCCATAGCTAATGCTGCGAACCCTGTTAAAAATGATTACTTTGCAGTCGCAAATACCTAAATTAAAGCTCAAATCTCATCTTCCGACACCCTGAAGAGCATTTTAGGCTTAGTTCATTTTGAAACAATTTTTTATACAGCATGCCCTAAAGTGATGCGTGGGCGATAACAGGCCTTTGAAATAACCACAAGGGAAATCCTCAAAATAAATCCCGTATCTCCCGAGCGGCACACCGAAAACTGGAAAATAATTGCGAGATAATTCGCATTTTTTCTCATTAGCGGTCGCAGATTATCTAATCTCGCGGAAAAGTTCATCGGCTGACCCCCGATAGGTACAAACAGCGATAAAAAAACCATATAAAACACCCGGAGAATTTCACAGCTGCATCACAGTTGGCGATTAAGACGACATCATGAAGTTCCTAGTACTCCTCAGCCTCGTAGCTTACTGCGCAGCAGTACCCATCGGATCAGTATACAGAACCGGTGTAGACTACCCTTACGGCAGGTCTACTGTGTACGACTACCTTAGGCACACCTTCGGCGTCAGCCCATACCTAGGAGGCCACAGGGGCTACTACGGCACTGGAATCTACGGAACCGGTGAGTTTTATGGATATTTTTTTCACTTTCCAATCGCGAAAATTAGATTTTATGCTTTTTACTATTTGTTGTCCTTTGGGCAATGAAATACAGTGAAAGCTCCCATAAGCGGACACTCACGGTTCCGTAACTTTTGTCCGCTTATGGGAGGTGTCCGTTTAAAAGAGAGTATGTAAGTATAGAGTATAAATAACGGGGTATATAATCATGAGGAAATGAGGTATTATAATCATGAGAAAAATGAAACAGAAATTCGCCACATTTTTAAAGTATGTATTTATGCTATATATCTATATAATATATGTACATATACGCATACAAAAACATAAATGCTTCAATACATGGTACGAGAATTTAAATAAAACATTATTCTTTAGCTTGTTGAAAAAAGTTTAAAATGTTTGTCTGACGAAATTTCACCATCTTTTGCTGAAGGAGACAATTTTCGTAATAATTTTCTAAATTTTTCAAATGTTGAAATGTAGTGAAATCATCTTTAGCAAATTTTTTCAATATAGAAATATGATTTAGAGCTTCCGCATATGAATTTATCGTTTTTGAACCGCTTAGTGAGTCCACCAGTTCCACTTCTTCTGAGTCGTTTGGACTACCATATTCAAGTTGGCCTGGGCTTTCTACATCCAAATTCGAAAAGTTGCCAATGGCATTTTCTTCTGTTGTTATGTGTCTATGGCCAGGAAATCATCTACTTTCTGGGGATCTGCTACTCCTAAATGTTTGGCATGTCGCAGTAACTGAGCAAGTGTCGCTAAGGGCAGATCGTCTTCAGCATCGCAATAATTTTACTCAGCAAATTCTGAGCTACATTCACTTTTTCTGAATCCAGCTTTGCCAAAACAGTTTTTAATTGTAGAGGAATTTACTTTATTCCATGCTGTTTTTATAAAATACAAAGCTTCTAACACATTGATAGACTTTGTAAGCTCAGATAAGCTTTCACCATCGTCAATTTTTGTTAAAATATGTTTTAAAATCAAGTGCCGATAATAAAATTTAAAGTTCTGTATGACACCTTGATCCATGGGCTGACAAACAGAAGTTGTGTTTGGCGGTAAAAATATAATTTTCACATTTTTCATTTTCATATCACGAGGATGAGAGCATGCATTGTCTAAAAATAAAAGAACTTGCCTTTTTTGGATTCTCATTTTCCGGTCGAATTCGATTAACCACTCAGACATGATTTCTCGGGTCATCCATGCCTTTTTGTTGGATTTCCAAGTCGCTGGTAGATCCTTAATAGCAACGTTTTTTACAACACGGGGACGAGCCGCTTTCCCGATCACAATCAAATCGCATTTTTCACCGGCCATATTTGCACAGAATAAAATGGTTAGTCTATCTTTAGACAACTTTCCACCCACACATGTTTCTCCTTTAAAGGACAGTGTTTTGTCGGGCAACGCGCGAAAAAAAAAGTCCACTCTCATCTGCGTTGTACACATCTTCTGGTTTGTAGCCAAGCAACATGGACGGAAGTTTCTCCAAAAATTGTGACACATTAACTTGATCTACTGCAGCAGCTTCGCCAGATATGCATTTGAAACTCACACTATGTCTCTTGCGCCAGTTTTGCAGCCACCCGTCGGACGCACTGAAATTATTATAGCCCAAAGTAGTGGCGATTTCTTTAGCTTTCATTTTCACTAACGGCCCTGAGATTGGAATGTTCTGACTTTAGCTTTCACAAACCACTCAAAACATATTTTGTCTATCGCAAAACCTTCCTTTTTTAAAAAATCCTTCTTTTGATTTATATTAGTTCCTGATTGCCATTTACTCCTGATATCTTCCTTATTTTTGGCAATTTCAGCTGCTTGCGTTTTCCCAATATTAAACCTCTTTGCCAAATGACGAACTGAAACACTTTCTCTGTCTAATACGTTAACAACTTCCATCTTTTCCTTTAACGAGAGCATCCTTTTTTTGTGGTGCCATTTTACAGTTCCAATAATAAAATACGTAACTCAATCAACTACGAATTTGCCTGAACTGAAGACAAGCCACAAGATTACATACAGGCTACCCATCGAAATGCGTAAATGGGGAATCACCTAATATAAATCGGGGAATTACCGAATTTTATGTATGTAGATATGTGTATTGCAATAAGCGGAACTAAAAAATCGTCCGGGTATTAGAGTTTCGCGTCCGCTTATGGGAGATTTTTTGATCACATACAGGAAAATCTAGTGTCCGCGTCCGTTTATAAGAGCGTCCGTTTATCGGAATGCATTTAACATTGAAAATTGATGGCTGAAATTCGGTTCCAGGAACTTTGTCCAGTTAAAAGAGATGTCCGCTTATAGGAGCTGTCCGCAAGGGGAGCTTTCACTGTACATGCATAGCATTCGTCCACTAAAAATAATTGATAAATAAAAATGTATAAAACAAATCACAATCAAGACAGCAGCATAATAACACTTAGGAATCCGTTTTACATTGATCAATATTGGATTCTCACAAATTCTACGAAGATACCCTATTCTTTTGCCTAATTCTCGACACATATAGTCAACATATTTGTTGAAAGTTAGTTGCTGATCTATTATAATACCTAAATACTTTACACTATCTACAAAATGAAGTACCTCTCCCTCGAATATGACTGGGATATTTAAATCCACCAATTTCTCACATTCAATTTAATCTTGTTTGTTTTTATCCATAAATTTATCAATTAAAAGATTTCTCTATTATTAAAAACATACATAGATAGTCCATACAGAATCAAAGTCGCCTGACAATATCCGTAGACGAATATCAGCTATTAACACCCACAGTACATCTAGTTGCTGTCTTTTGGCTCAAAAATACCTGCTCAGCGTTATTTGACAAGCCCTAAAAACTCAAGCCGTACCTTAAGGCGGCTCCGACGCAGCGAGTTTCGAGCCATTTACAAGGGTTCAGCTGCTTCGACAGTGACACTCCATTTTTCAATATTTTTGAATGAAATTCATGCAGAAGATAATTGCCCGGGGTGCTATAGGAGCACTTTTTGGAATTTTGTTTTTGCGCAAGTTCTATGATGGGTTGAAGTGCCACCTTTTCTGTTCAACTTCGCGATTTTTTCAAAAAGAATCTAGTGTAAAAAATGAAAAAGTGGCTCTATATATTGTTTATGAAAATTTCATTCAAAAATATCAAAAAACAAAGCGTGAATTTCGAAGCGCGTAAACTTCTACAAATCGTATGTTGGACGGATTTTGTCTACTGTTTCGTGCTGCCAACCCAAGCGTTGCGGCGCAATGTACGGACTGAGAAAGGACGTATTCAGATAATTTGCTGGCCCTATTTCATATAATATCGCATAGATAAGTCGTTCTGCAAATAGGTACTCATAGTCGCGATCGCAGATACTCCTCGATTTTAAAAGCCGTCTTACTTCCCACGCCAGATATCTTTAGTAGAATAAATCCAAGAAATCAAATTCTAATTCGTTTATTCATGTCAAGGCTTATACCTGGATTAAGTACATCTCTTGTCTACTGTAATAGGTAGATGGAGGCAACCTTATCCTCCGAAGGCGCCACAAAGTACAGTCCAGTGATTTGGTGACTTGTTGGATCTGCAAAATTTGTCGTCACTTTTTTTAAGTTTCCCTAAAAAATTCATTCTTGCTTAGCAACCTCCAAATCAATGTCGTTCATGTCAGGTTTCTGACAGAATTCACCATAAAACTATTCATTTCCTTTCGAATTGCTATCCGGCTTGCTATTTATTTTTATATCAGCTTTTTTTGGCCTGAGTTTCTTTTCAAGATTCTTGCGTTTGAGTCTTTGTATTTGGACGACATAGACAGGCCGCTGGGTATTGTGGCTCCCTACAGGTGCATCACATCTTCCATGGTATGACCTCTTCTTGCAATAATTTATTCGCTGACTCCCCAATGTATTCTGCGATTATAGAGTTGACTGTTCCACACTATTGTTGAGCTCATCATGAATTAAACTGACTGCATTTGTAATTAAAATAGTCGCATATGACCTTTTATTGTCCATTATCAACCTTGATAAAAAAGGCACTCAAGAACAATCACACTAACAACAATTTAACAACACAATATCGACGAACAGTAACAAGAGGAGAAAAATACTAAATGATCGCTTGCTGAGTACCAAAATAGGAAACGATTTACAGGCTAGATCGCTAATCGAAATCCGTCTCTATTATAAAAATTCACCTTGGTATGCACCGGCAGTCATCCTTTCCTCTTTTAAAGTAGCGCTGATGACCGTCTAGGGCCGGCCCACCCTCGTTTTCTTTTCACCTCCCGTTACCTCAGCAGATGGTGCTCGTGATTGTAGGAGCCCCGATTGACTGTTTTTTGTATTCATCATCATAGCTCGGAAATTTGTTTTTCGGACCAGATTCTCACAATGCTCAGACTGCCATCAAAATGTAATCCTAAAAACTCTATTTCTGTTCCAACTGGTATTTCTAAGCTATCTATATTGATGTTTGTTGTTTTTTTTTCTGAACGCTATCGAACCTCGCAATTTAAATACAGTTGTTTAAACTTTTTTGACGTTTCAAATGATCTTGTTCATTTCTGAAATCTTTAGGTGTTGAAAATTGGAATTAATACACTTCCAGTAACGATAATTTTTGGCACATGTTAGACTTACCTCACACATGACGGGTTTCCCCGTACATTTGACCTTAAGACCGTTTTCAGTAGACGAATCGCGTACCTATCGGTCGCACTTTCTGTGCACCATGAGACTGTAAGTGTTGCATCTTTGGTAGTGGATTCGATATCACATATGAAGTGAGCGCGATATCATGTGTCCTTCAAAACTTAGTTAACAAAAACTATTTTCCAGAACTTATACCTCCGAAACGCAGCAGTATTTTTATAATTGTCAGATAAAGAATGTTTGAGTGATCAACCAATTCATTGTTGCAGGCATCTACGATGACGCTGTCCACCACGGCGTTTCTGACTACTACCTGCCCCACCACATGTACGGCGACGTCGCCATGCCCCACCACGTCTACGGAGCCTACTGGCCCCACTCCGGCATCTACGGATCTGGAATTTACGGAGATGTCCTGAAGCACGGCGTATACGGAGCTTACGGAAGGTCCGTGGCTGGAGTCGTACCTGATGTTGTCGCCGACATCAAGACCGTGAGGTAACTATCGTCGTGACGAAACGCAAAGACGAATACAATAGATACCTTGTATATATGTCCTTTTTGTTCCACTGTTCTGTGACCATTACCAATTTATGTTTATACATGACCACATACTATTTTTAAATCAACGAAATTCCTTTCTTAATTTGTATTTATATATTCATTCCGTTTCCTTGCAGCGGAGTCTACGATGACGACACCGAAACCCTGCACCACCAGCAGCTCGTCCAAGAGCAGCAGCTCCAGATCCAGCAGCAACTGCAGCAACAACAGCTCCAGCAGCAACAGCAGCTCCTTCACGAGGAACAACGTCTGGCCCAGCACCAGCTCTACCAGGAAGAGGAGAACATGAACAAGCGTCACTTCATCCAGCACCAGCAGCTGAAGGAGCTGCAAGAGCGCGTCCAGGAGGAGCAGCTGAAGCAGAAGGTGCAGCTGGATCAGCTCCAGAACCTCCACCACATCTACCCGCGTCACGGCGGATTCATGGAGCATCTGATGGGAGGTGTCAGGACTGGACTGCCCATCGCCGGAGTTTACTAAGCGTTTATAGATATTTATGAGTTTTTAAATACATTACTTTAAAATCATACGCTTTTTTCTTTCGTCCACCTGTCTCCAATGATACCACAGCCGTAACCGTACTCCCTGTATCCCTACATTACGAGTATACAGTTGTTCTAGTAATATAGTGCTATTTGGCACTTTGTCAGCATGGTCTAAGGATGGTCAGCTCACGAAAACTGAGCAACTATCATCTATCCAGGACATAAGGTCTATCGAGGTTAAATACCGCTAGAATCGACAGCTTCTAGCGGTCACAGATATGACTGGGCTATCTTGGCATAGGAATTAAAAGGAAACTAAAAGATTATACAGTGGACCCCCGATAATCCGTCCTCAGTTTGAATTTGACTACTGGTGATAGCGGTACGGCCTAGCGTACGTTCATTGTTTACTATTTATTCATTGTGTATTAAGTATAGTACCTAGTAATGTCATCGCAAACTCAGAAGCGAAAGCACAAAACATTGACAATTAAAGAAAAATGTGATATTTTAGACCGCTTAAATCGCAATGAAACTTTCAGTAGTTTAGCAAGTGAATACGGCGTATGCGTCACTAAAGACAATACTGTTCCATTCCTGATCCCAGAATGACCGTTGTCTGCACCACTCAAGGCGATTACGTCGGTGTTCTCGAGTTAAAGGGAGGACCCAGTGTGGCCGGTATGAAAACAAGCCAAAACTTCTCATTCGTCGGTAAACACTTCGCATGCCAATAGGTCTGTTCTGCAAACCATTCATTTGCAATGGACCTGGTAGTGGAGAAACGGTCCCTTAAGGCCAATAATCTTAGGCGGCGATCTTCACGGTCTGTTGTTCTACGGCGGCGTCCAGTGCCTCTTGCTCTTTGCGTACGGCCTTCTCGAAGCCATGCCTGACAACACCTAACCACAGTGTCTACACTTCTTTGCACTCTAACTGCAATTGCCCGAAAAGAAAGTCCAGCTTCCCGAAGTCCCACTATACGGCCCCTATCAAACTCACTAAGTTGACGAAATCGTACAGGTCTCCGTACTTTAGGCATCGTAACCGATCGTAAAGGATGTCAAGAACCTAAATCCGCCAACGTTGGTTCTTTACTACGGCTGAAATATTCATTTTTAGAGCGTTAGTGAATTAAAAAAAAGCAGTATAAAAACCGGAATGTCTAACTGATAAGGCTGAACATTTTTTCACTTGTTATTTATAGTAAGATAAATACATTCACCAACTTTTATTAAAATGAAACCATTTAAGCTGGGTGTTATATGTCACTTAGTATACATAATCTTACCATTGGATATGTAATTTGTCGGATTTTAAGGGACTTTTTTGTGAAAAATTCTGGACTATAGGGGGTCTTAGTCCGACACTGCCCTGCAGAATGTTTGCCGTCTTACCGGAGGTCCACTGTATTGCTATCTATGAGACAGTAGCAAAATGCAAAAGTGAATTTAGAAATCAACTTCAAGAAGATTGCTTGTCGGTGTTCAGCTACTACCTCACATCTCAAATAGGCTGTCCCACTATTTCCAATATCAGCTGTTCTGCCATTGCTGCTGCCGACGCGGGATACATTTTTGTTAAAGTCAAATCCCGTATTTTGTTTTTGAATCAGAATGAGTTTTTAAAAGAATCCAAAAAAGTGGAAAAACGCCGAACGTATGGATTTCCATCAAACGATTGCCATGCCGAAAGGTCGAAATCCAACTGTTCATATAGTTCGGATAAACTTAATTAAAACCGATAGGAGAAACGATTTGTAACGAATGCTATTTTGTAGCTTTTGTAAAAAGTGAAATAAACGAAATCCCTTTGTTGAGGTTTTTCTATTTGTCGAACCGTTATTCATGCGTTTTTCGTGTTTTAAAATGTTATTTTCGGAGTAAAAAAGCAGATTGATTCTTCATCGCTCGACAATAAGTACCCGTATCGTGCTTACATTTATAGAGGGCGTCCAAAATATCTATACAGGTTGTTCATTTGAAAACTCTATTATTAAAAGAAAACACACCAAGACACGTCAAAAGATGTGTCAATGGGGACAACTTTTTAACCAAAAAGTACTTCAGCCCGTATCATTCTCGGTTCCACAGGGTCGGCGTTTTTTCTCTTATTCAGTGGTTTTTGATAAAACCGTGGTGGGAGGTTTTCAAATGAAGGATATTTCGAAAAGCACGCAACCCAGAGAAAAATGTTGAATCGGGTTGTGGGGTTTGAAAACGGTTATCTGACGATGACCTTGATCGTGACATTGACTACGTACTTTGAGGTTATTTCAAGGTCAAGATATTTTTATTAAAAGGTAACCCCTATTTTCGGCTCCGGAGCAGGCCGCAGCTGCGGCCCTTACCTCGTCACTCGGGTCGCCAGGCAACGTGGTGTTTCTACCTCATTCTAACGTATGAACTCACTCTCGTACACATTACGACGTAAGACATTTATCTAAAGTGTATCTAACGAAGCTACAAAGTAATCGTAAACAGTGGTTGATTCGTGATCAACGCGTGATCGGTAGCCATGGCACTCTGTCGGCCTCTTCCTGATTGGTTTGTAGCGACGAGCCTCCAGACAAAGTCGCACGGTTGCCACGCTCGGCGAGTTTTCGCCAGAGTGGTTGATCACATTCGCATGGATCACAAATCAATCTGTTGGTGCAATACGTGCAATAACTGTTGTAAAGGACATTATATAACAATAAATGGCATCACAAAGGTATATTCCAATTTGATCTGCAGCAAATTATGAACGGCATATACGGAGATGCGAAAACAAGCTTAAAAAGGTGAAGAAAATTTTTGTGCAATCTTTATAGTTAAATTTTTCCTAAGAGATAGCATCAGTGAGGGAATTTTTTTCTATTGTCTTATTTTTCACATTAATGCGATGTCGAGGTATGTGGCCCTTTCGCAATTGAAAATAAGGTTTCGATAATCCTTCCATAAAGTTTAGATGAGTACATCTGAAATAACCTTGAGATATTCTTCAGGGAAATCTCCTTTTATGTTTTTTTGTGCAGATTTATCTATTAAAATCCTATCCGCAATCTATTTTCCGTGCACACACCTTCAACCGAATGTATGCCATATATGATATTACCGTTTCCAACTTTCACCAAGGTTAATAGGAACCATAACAGCTCCCTACCCTTCCCCCCTATAAGAATATCGATTTGTAGCCTCACATTTCAAGGTTAGACTTCTTGTAATGTTTCTGTTCAACATTCGGCGATTTCTGACAATTTTCCCAATAAAACATGATCATTGTGACATTAAGCCTGGCAACGCTGCATAGTAGAGGGAACTCTCAGCGTCACGTTGATGGTTCGTCACCACGCACAGGATTGTAATCAGTTACGGATACCCGTTTATGAGCGCGAACGTTTTATGCACGTCTTGACTTGATTTTTCTTGCGGAAATTTAATATTAGTCTAAAATGTCTGACACAGATACAGCTGATGAAGTGGTTGAAATCAGCTTAACGTCACCCAGAAAAAGGGCTAAAAAGCTTCATCTTAGCGCAGGTGAAAAACAAATTATTCTAAATATCTACAAGAACCAGATGCAAGAGAATAGTGGATTGGCTATAGAAAATATCGTATGTAAGGTTGCTGAAATTTCTGGAGTAGGTCGATCAAGTGTTTACAAAATCTTGAAGGAATATAGACAAAATCACTCACTATCTGAGCCAAAAACATATCCAGCGAGAAAAAAAAATCATCGAAAAAATAGATGACTTTGACAAAAGTGCCATTAGAAGAAAAGTACATCACTTTTTCTTCAGGAATGAAATACCTACAATAGATAAAATATTGAAGCAAGTGAATGATGATGAGGACCTGCCAAATTTTAAAAGATCTACGTTCCATAAGCTGTTGAAAGAACTAGACTTTCGATTTTTGAAAGGAGGAAGGAATAGTTTATTGATAGAAAAGGAGGAAATTGTTATCTGGAGGAGAGAATACCTTAGAAAAATTAGGCAATTCCGCGCTGAAGGAAGAAAAATTTATTATTTAGACGAAACATGGGTGAACGCGGGCATACGCAGGGAAAGGTTTGGGTAGACAGATCTGTGAGGTCCTCAAGGCTGGCTTTTTTAGATGGCCTTTCGACGGGATTGAAAAATCCTGCAGGTAAGTTTCGAAGTATATGAACTTTTTTGGATGCAGATAATTCATTTTCTGATCGAATCAATGATTTGGAAGCTCCGAACTCAGTTTTGCTATCTCATCCAAGTTTCTGAGTATTTCCTTCACCCAAAAACTAGTCTAAGACCCTATCCTACACTAACCTAAAAAGGGTAAGTTGCTTAATTTCGTCATTTAGTGCGCTCGCTGAGAAGTAAAATAACTAATTACTTTCAGGCAAGAGAAAACGCCTGATCATTTGCCACAGATGGATTTGTTCCTGAAGCATTGTGGGCATTTGAATCCAAAAAAACTGGAGACTATCACGAAGAAATGGATGGTAACTCATTTGAAAATTGGTTCAAAAAAATTTTGCCGACACTTGATGATAACGCAATTATTGTGATGGATAATGCCCCGTACCACTCCAGAAAATTGGAAAAAATTCCAACAATGGCCACGAAAAAGGCAGACATTCAACAGTGGCTTGTCTCAAAGAAGATCGACTTCGACCAAACAATGGTCAAAGCTGAGCTGATAAATATAGTCAAGCGACATAAGTATAAATATGATTTAAAAATCGTTGACGAAATGGCCAAAAACCAAAATAAAACGATTGTCAGGCTGCCTCCCTATCACTGCGAACTGAATCCTATCGAGTTGATTTGGGCCGACATCAAGCAATACGTGGCGTCAAATAACAGCACTTTTAAGTTTTCTGACCTTAAAAAACTGTTTGATGTTGCTGTCGATAGAATTACGCCAGCAAAATGGAGAACATGTATTGACCATGTCCAAGAGAAGGTTGAAACCAAAATGTGTGATATGGACAATATCACTGACACCCAAGTTGAACCCCTTATAATTGACATCAACAATTCTGATGATTCAAGCTCCTCGGAATACAGCATATAAATCGA